TGGATTTTAAAATGCTGTGACAGAAGAATGCTTTGGCACACTGAAAACCAGCAAGTGTCCCAGATCTCACTTCATTGTGGAAAATACAGAACTAAAAGGGTGCTCCCCAGAACGTACAAAGAAATTGCCATTGATATTGTGCTAGGGATGAAGTCCTAAATCTTTCAGAAGTGCCAAAGTTCTGTGCTGTGGAAATATTTGAGTGAAAGGTTACTAAAATGAGCAGCAGCAGACTTGTTAATTTCTTTAATTCTATCAGGCCTAATAGCATTTTTAAATGTTGCTGATATATTGCAACAAATATTCAGCTTATTATTAAAAATGTTCCTAGAAGATACATTTATATTTGTCCTTAAGATGACAATCATAAAGAGAGGGTGCAGAACAATTTGGGAAAAGACCAAAGACCAAAAGTTTTTATAGTATATTAAATGTGTAAGCACAGAAAATGACTTATTTGAAGATATTCACATAAAACTTGAAAATGCTTAAGATTTTAAAATACTTAAAAAAGAAAAAAAAAGTTACACTATGTATAACATTTTAAAAAATGTGCTCTTTACAGAGAGGCTTACTTTTAGAATTTTGTTGGCTTTCTAAATGTATAGAGCAGTATTGTTTTGGGGATTACTTGACTTGCTTATAGCAGTTCCGTGGTTTAATGGAGTTTGGATTTAATAGACAAAATCTGTTAAATGGGAATTTGATCTGTAAAATAAAAAATACCAGATTTCTGTGACAGTGGGGAAGTGGTGCCTTACATGGGTAGGACAATTGCTTACAAAGGGCGTTGTTCACGCCTTAGTGATTTTGTTATACAGTGAAGAAGACACATGAACAATTTTCATTGATTGTAATTGTTAAGAAAATAAGTCAGAATGTCCAGAAAGCATATAGATACTATATATATTTCTGAGACTTAGAAATTGTCGTTCATGATTTAACAGACATTCCTTCCTCTCATTAGTCAATTACTTAGGTGTTACTGCTGCATTAATGTACTCCACAGTAGCATGATGTGAAATCCTTTGTAAGTGCATCTCGCACTATAGACACACATTCTCCTACTTTAGCACAAAGCCAAGAAAGCAGTTGTCGTTAAAGCCTTGCTTGACATCTTTGATAAAAGTAAGCAAATTTAAGGAATATTTCAAAACAGCTGAATTTCCATCTGATTATTTTGAAATTCCAACTTGCAATAATGCTGTTTTTCTGTTTGCATTACAGGTCTATTTACAATGCATAACTGTTTTGAACCAAAAATGTATATACTTGAAAAAATAATGATTTATTCTTATCACTGCGCCTTTGCACTTATTCTGTATTGTCTCATTTATTAGGCCCATGTAATGTACTGTATAAATCAGTGTTTAATCCCTTGTGTACTTTGAGTATAGCCTGTTTTTGTGTACATATCCCTTCTTCCTTTATTCATAAGTGAACTATAACTGGCCTATACTGTACACTAAACATTCATATTCAGATCATTTACATATTAAATTTATATTTAGCTCCATGAATATGTCCCCTATTTGTTATTTTAAACAGACCATACAAGAGAGCAAAATGATTTGTGCTTTTCTCTGTGTTGACACAATAACACCACCGTTTATCTTATTGGACATTTCTGAAGATTGCCTTATTTCAATATTCCCAGGTTTCACCAGGCATTGAAGCAAACATTTATTTTAACTGTATGAATACTAGTATGTCATGAACATGAATTGCTTGTCATTACCATTGTTCATTATAATCTATACAGGGATTCTGGGTTAAGTGTTTATTTTTAAGTCACATACTTCTCTTTAAACTATAATCTGTGTTATAAGAAAGATGTGATACTGCTAGCATTTTCTATACTTTCTGAAAATTAAAATCAATTTTGTGTTTTAGAGAGCATACAAGAACGTGGATTTTTAGTACTGAAATAATATTTGTCAGCAGATCTTGTGCCACACCTGCCGAAAATAATGACACCCTGGAGATTAAATGAAAATGAGTGTGAGACGAACAGATTGGGGAGCAAGTGATCATTGTCGCCTGTCAGCTATGTTCCGGTTACAAGTAAAGCAGACACAATCAGCAGTAACATTCATCAAAACATGAGCTTAAGACAAACCAACCTTGTTTCATACAGTACATACTGTACTGTATTTATTTTTTAATTATCAAACCAGATATTCACATGGTTAATTTAAGGGGTGTCATGTCAAAAATAAACACCCACAACGAGAAGTCCTAATTATAATGTAAATGACTCGAGTATTATCCATGCAGTAGCTGTTCCATGTTCAGTGTGTTCCTGCTGCTGACTCTGAATACGGAAGGTGTATTCGTTGCATGGTAAGGGCACTTGGCACATGCAAAAAACATTGCAGCCATTTAGTAAATGAGGCCCAAAGGGGGAATTAAACTCTCAGTGCTTTACATGACAGGTCACTGAAATTAAATCACAGCATGATGCTTGAAAATGTAATAATTCCTTAAGGCCTGTCTGTAAAATGCAAAGCAGAACAAGTAAAAGCATTCTGGAATGTTATTACTTTCCTGGTTGATTACTGCATATGTATGTGGACTTGAAGCAACATTGTTGAATATTGGAACTTACAGTAAACGCCATATACAGTATATTCCACGTGGGCATATATAATATATCTGGATTATTGTGACTGATTATTCTAAACTGTCCCTTTCTCCGTGGCCCAAGCAGAAAAGGGGTGGTTATGTGTTCTCAGCAGTGCCCTGTGCTTCCAGATGGGAGTTGTGAACTTCTGTCGAGCTCTTCCAACTTCCTTTACACAGATGCAAGGCCCATTTATTGTCCAAATCAGCACAGATTCTGAGCCCTGGCATGCCGGTTTTCCCTTGGTCGATGAGATTTCATTTTCTTTTTTTGCTGGTGACAAGTGGGTACACAAAGATGTATCTGTTAGTTTGCCTCTTTTGGTAAATTCCTTGAGTAAAAATACTTTATTGTAGCAGAGCCTGGTAAAAGCACAGTAGTATAAAAAGCAAGTTTAAGTAATGGATTAAAGACTAATTTGATGGGCATTCGTGATGCAATCAAGGGGAAAAGAAGGTAGATGCTTATGATTAGTGTAGTGTATACATGGTACAGAACAAAATGAAGAGCAAGAGACTTTAGATATGCTAAGGCACAATTTTAGAAGGGCTTTGTAATGATGCTGCTTGTACCTGAGTTAAGGGCCACCAGAAGAACCAAAATGCAGGTAGATGAGCAAACGAGCAGAAAAGATCTATCTGAAACGTAGTCAAAAACAAGCAAACAAGTGTGTAGTTGAGAGATACATGGGACAAAGTACAAGGAAAATCCAAAAGGCGAGGTCAAAGCAAAGTGAGGTAAGAATCCAAAACACGGCAATGCAGAGAACGCAGAGGCTTAGGGGACGAAGCTCTAAGACTGACCGTGAAGTGATGCGAAGACTGATCTTAAGAATACTGTGCCAGGACAGGTGTAGAGAGGTTCATTGTGCACAGGGGGAACAGATCTCCTGCCAGAATGCGTGATCACAACAACCGGCTGACTGACAGGTCTAGCTGATGCTCAGATTGTTGCTGTGGTGATTTTCTCCAGCATTCTAGCAGTAGATGTACAGTAGCAGTAGCAGGGATAACGGCTTTAGTCCGGATTGGCACCAACATAGTTCTTCCTCTCCTAAGACAGTGTGAGCCTCGGGCACATTTAGTGATTCCATCCAGCTGTTATCAATTTTTTTTTTAATTCCTAGTTGGTAATGTTAGGACTCAAGGCAGGAATGCGACCTGGAAGGGTGTATCATAGGGCATGTGCACACAGGCACAAACATGAGGTTGATTTATAGACTCTAAGCTCGCAAGCATGTCTTTGGAAGGGGGGTGGAAACTGAAGCCCCAGTTTCTGTGGTAAAGGGGATGTGGAGGGGGGGTTGAATATCTTTGTACTTAATCTATTTATGTAAAAAACACAATTCTGTTGCCTGAGAGTACAGCTGTGACCTTTTTATAGTTTTTAGTTTCCCAACCCTCAGGCAGAAACTAATATTTTTGTTTCGGTATCCCAGATAATTTATTTTTTTCTGACTTTAGTACTTCAGATATCACCCTGTATAATAACTATGGCTGTCATTTCACTAGCCTGAGCCAATTCAGGACCATGGACAGCAGCTCAATCATGCCAGCAGCCTTAGTTGACTACGTTACTTATCGATTCATTTGCCCTCTGTTACATTCTCCATGTGTCTCTCTGGTTTGTTTACCCCTGTATGTTTGATGCTGAGCATATTTTTCACTCATAAAACAGCAATCTATAAATGATTCAGAAAAGAGCAAGTACAGGTTAATTAAACACTGAGAACAAAAAGCTGATAAATTAACCTCATCCTGTCCTTTTTTTGTTGCACACTCAATGCTCCCCACTCAATTGTCTAGAAAGCTCACTTAAAATTTCCTTTTGGTCTTGTACAATTTTTTTTTTATTGTATCAATACTTCTTTGAAGTAATGATTTGATTAATCTTGCCTGCAGTGTCTTTCTCTTTTTGGCTCCCTGTTTCTCTCAGTCCTGGGTCAGAGTGGTGGAAAATAAGCCATACAGCTGCTCTCTGGGTACTGCCACTTTAAATTGCAAGACCAAGAATGAGATTCTGGAAATAGCACACAATAGTAAAAGGAAAGAAGAAAGAGTGGATGAAATCAAGAGCCTAAGTGGGATATAGGGATGAATTAGGCCTACTTTTCCCTGAGTGACAGGAGGGGCTTCTAGGAGGTTTAATGTGACCTACAGTACCCTCCACACACCATCAGATCCTCGTGTGTCCTTTCTTTCTGATTCTTCAAATATAGCTATATCTCCTTTTCCAGCTGCGCTTCCTTCCTGCTTTTCATCTTCTACACCCTTTTCTTGACATTTCTTGATTTCCTTTCCAGCTGTGTTACTGATATTGAATTGTTGTTACTACACTGCATTGGGATGTAATGTGTGTGGTATATATTTTGTTACAGCCAGTGTAGTAGGGGGACAGATTCCAGCTCAACACCAGGAAGTGCAGAGAGAGGTGCTGCCCAAGGCAGAGCAGCAGCTCATCGCAGCTGACTTCCTCTCAGGTGGGACCCTTGAGCAAACCTTGGCCTCTCTTTCTCTGCCTCTGCATCTCTCTGTTCTCAACTGTCCAACCACTGTCCCTTGTTTTATCCTTATCCTGTACATGAGGTCAACCTGCCTATTAAATTGTACCTTTATAAAATCCCAAGACCTGTCCTTACTGTCCTTCAGGCCCAGCACTCATACTCTGAGCTATAGCAAATGCAGCAATAATGACAGCAGAAGAGGGTTATTACAGGATATTGACAGTCCAGTTACTGCACTGTAGTAAGTGTAGTCTGTGTGCCAGTCAGTGCGTCTGTATCAGCCCTTCTCTGTTTCTGTATCTGCAGGTGCTTTAGAAATATCAGGCCTCCCAGAGCGGTTGGGGCGTCATCCTGTCCCTCTCCAGCCTGCGGACTGCAGCCCAGTGCCCCCAGTGTCCCAGGAAGTCCTGAAAGCTTCTGAGACCACCTTCTCCTCCAGTCTTCCTCTTACAGGTCTGTCTCTAAACTGTTTATCTGTTAGTTTAAAAAAAAACAGTAGGCATGAGATTTTTATTAACAATACTTAAATTGCAAATACAACACATTCTTTTAAAATGACTGTTCTCCCCATCCCCACCTTTATCCTACTGTCCTCTCTCACTGCTCTGTCACTCCATGTTTACCCTGAGACAGTTTTTACAGTTTTAAACTACACTTGGCAACATACAGTATTTACACCATACCGCTTTAAATGAGCCACAGCTTATAGTTTTAAATGTGTAAGTCAGAAAACTGATATTTTGAGTTTTACTTCAACTCAATTCAGGAATATCTGCTTTTTATCACTTTTTCACTCCCATCTAAAATTCAACACTTAATTAGAATATTTTTTCACTTCAACAAATGAGATAAACCTGAGTGTAAATTAATAAGAAAAGTCATTTTCTGCATTGTTTACGAGGTGGTGGGGGTGGGTCTACTGTACAGTAAGTGTTTTTCTTTTCAATATTGTGCTATTTCCTGCTGGTTTGTTCAGTAGATCAGTGATCAGACTTTGGAATTTTTGGTGGCGTGAGTTTGTCTTTGAGTACAATGCTATGAAAGTTTACCAGTGTGTGTGTGATTTTAGGGGCTGGATTCCCAGCAGAGGTGCCATCCAATATTGAAACTACTCCTCTGAAGATGGAGCAGACATGGAATTTAGATGCATTCCAGAAACCCCTGTCCTCACCTGTTGCAGAACCCCCTAAACTACAGGCACCCCCATCACCCGTGTCTCAGCCACAAACCCCTGCATCTGACACACCAGGTGCCCTGCAGGAGCCCCAAGGTGCGCTGAACACCATTGCAGGTAGGCGTGCTTTATTATTGTTTGTTCGAGATTGGGTGTATGGGAGCTTTGGTGTCAAAGGGCTCTGCAGGTGTTTCCAGCAAACATTTTGGAAAAGGTAGAATCAATAAGACACACAGTCTGTAGTTTAATGAGATTTACTAGCACTTGTCAATCTTTTGGCAGTCACATGCCACCATCAGAACCAGGTCAAATTAAGATGTTGTGATAGAAGCTGCTTTTGACAAGCTACAGACAAACCACACGATTGCACAGAGTACAGGTGAATGTGCCCCTATGTGTTTTCCTCAGCTCTCCCCTGCGTTACAGACACTGTCAAATACCTATGGAAAAGAGCAGCACAGTGCCCTGCCCCCTTCTCTCCAGCTCAAGAGATCGGTTTTTCACAGGGATTATGAAGATTATACTAGTATGACTGTTCTGAGCTGATTGCAGTTGGCATATAAAATACAAAAGTGTGTCTGTAAGGGGGTGGGGGGGGGAGTCTTTGGCTTCGCTGTTCAGGTCTGTCTATCAGCAGACCTTTAAAGACTAATTATGTGGTTCTTCCATATGATTTTCCAATTACATTTCAGTTTGTGGTTACAAGGCTTTCCTGTGATCTTCTATTGCTTTCATGTTATCTTATTTCTGCCTATGGATTTTTCAGTCTGCACTCAAACCTTGGGACGTGTCAGTGGATTCCTAAACAGTGTGCAGCATAGTCCTGTGGTGATATGACAATGTGTGTGTATGATTTTAGGGGCTGCAGTGACAGTTGCTGCCGTAGAGTCTCCTTCACAGATGGAACAGAAACAAGGCACCACTGAACCCCAGAAACCCCCATCCTCGCCCCCCTCACCCATCTCCCAGCCACAGGCCCATGCACCAGAGTCACCCAAGTTACCCTCTCCAGCTGCCTCACAGGAGCCCCAGACCACTCATGCAGGTAGGGGGCACTTACCTCTTTGACTAATCCTGGAGTTTACCCTTTCCAGTTATAAGTAGTTTGTGTTCGAAAGGTGAATTACCAGCAGCTTTCCTCACAATACAGAAAAAAACTTGATGGCAAGTGAGATAGGTGTCTCAGGATGTGGGCGCAGGGCAGGTGCCCAGGAGCAGTTCCCCTGCCACTGTAACACATCTGTAGAACAGAGCAGCAGGACACCCTGCCCTCATTGCCTCCAGCAGAGGGGGTTCAGCTTTTCCAGAGGATTAAGGAGATTACAGCAGTTCTACTGTTCTGAGCTGATTTCACTTTCCATGTGAAATGAAAAGTGTGCTTGTGGGGGGCTGGGCACTGCAACGGGTGTTGGGTTTCTTGTTTATATGTAGTCAGTGCTAAGCACTGCCGAGTTCTCTGAGGTAAAGGTGCCTTGACTTACCTCTACATTTCAAACATGTCTTATCTTCCTGATACAGTGCTGTCCCAGTGTTTTGCCATGCTTTCTCAGTATTTTACTATCCCGGTCAATGATAAATCCATTTTCTGTGAATTGGAATGAAATATATAGGCAAGCCATTGTAAAAGCACACAAACACCTAAAACTATACCATGGAAAATCTACTATGTGATGGGTTGGTGGTAGTGAGCCTGTTTAAGACCAGTTGGGGGTGGGGATAACATTCTTTTTTTAAACCTCACTCCAACAGGCACCTCAGATGGAGGTGATTTGGGACTGTTCAGAGTATTATACCTCAGATTTTGGGAGTGTCAGCATCCATGTGATACAGAGTAATGGCTTCTGAGACTGTATCCCCTCTTTACTCTCCATCTGGGTACAGCTCACCTTTTCCACAAGTTTAAATCTGTTGCTATATTTTCATGGATCAGAACTATTCATGCAGACACCACAAAAAATGTTTCATAATTAATACTCTTTCTCACTTTACTGTATATAGTTGTCTCTTACAGTTGAATGGAAGATGAAACCTTTATCACTGAGCTGGAGACAAGACGTTTAGGAAGTGAATTATTAAGGATGATCAAAATTCTGATGTGTCTGTAAGATTTGCAATAATTAGAGAATACAGGAATGGAAAAATCAGCAGGCAGGACTACAGAATAGTTACTGTGTATTGATCAAACCCACATCCAGCTATACCTGTGATTGGGTTTGGTTTGCATACCTACTGTATTAAATGTGGACAGGTAGCTTGTTAGTGGAAAGAGTTGGTGAGCACCATCTCAACGGAACAGTAGTTATATGTGAAATTAAACTCCAATGAAATATGCAGATTACTGTAGGGAGGTATAGTGAACCTGGAATGAAATATGCATGCTACTGTAGGGTGTTATAGTGAATGTGCAGTGAAATATTGCTCCGATGAAACTTGCCATGTGAGTGAAGCAAGAGTGATACAGTAAATAAACAACAAACAAACATCAAAACATAAAATACTAATGCATAAACATGATAATCAATTCTGATGCCAAACTTTCTCAGTATTTACACAAAGTTAATGTTTACACACCAGTTAGTGATGATGGTAATTTTATGATAATTGTAATAATGATTATAGCCATTCTTTTTATGTCCATCAGTACCAGTCATATACTGTAGATCATATACAGACACAACCCACATTTAAATTAAGCCTGATGATCTGCAGTGAATGTGCACTGAGCTGGGGACAGGACATTACACTAGAAAGCAAGAGTTTACCTGCACACGAAAGTCTGTTTCCATAGTGTTATTGTCATATTTATTTTTATTTTGAACTTCTCAGGGTTTTTTTTCTGAAGTGCAACTTCAGAGCTCCAGCTACTGCCCTATCTCTTTTCCCCTGCCTAATCAGTGAGACCAGTGTTGAAGAGGAATCTTGTTTGCTTTAGATTCTTTGTCCTGCCTGTGTTTTTTTTCAGTTAATATCAGTCCATTCTCATTAGTTGAAATTGTCCTGCAGATTCAAAAGCCTTCATTCTGTACTACATCAAATGAAGCACGGAAATAGTTCATCCTTGATCATACCTTCAGACATGTCCTTTTTTCACACCTGCCAAAATATTATTTTCTGTTTAGCATGCCATGCTTTCATTTAGTAAGGGTGTCTTAAAATTCTGGGGCGGCTTTGTTTATTTTGAAGAAAGAATTTTAAAGCAGGTGGACAAACTGCTTAACGAAGCAGAGCAGTGAGGGAATGGAAAACCCAGCTGCCCAGAGGTTGGCTGCAGGATATGCGAGCCACATGTCTCATCTGGGCTCCCTGTTGTGCTGCCAGTGGCCAGCGAGTGGCAGCGCTGGGCACACAGCTCACATGACCCCCTTTATCTATCTGCCCTTTGTCTCAGTGTGACACAGTGTGTCCTGATATTGTTTTCTTTGATCTTTATTTCTTATTCATTCATTTTCACATGCGACATGGAGCTTGACACCTGCATAACTGCACATAAATGGCAGTTTTCCTGTTTTGGTTTTCCTCATTGTTTGATATTAATTTATCCTGCTTTCTTTCCTGTAATTTTTATGTTTCTTGCAATGCGCTTCACTAGACTGTGAAAAGGCCATTGTTTAGCATCTTAAATGTTAATAAGAGGTGTGTGATACTGTTTTTATAAACATTTAATATGGTGAATCATGATACTGCTGTAGTCCTGGTGATACCAGACTGCAATATTGTCTTGATTAACTGTTAAATGATCTATACAGAAGTATTACATGGATCTTATCATTTTCTATATTATACCTTGGAATTTTAATAGATTAATGTAGCAATCCATATCATATTTATACTATGGCAAAGCCTAATTTAAGCAGGAGAAATTAAACTTGAAATAAAGGACCAAAATTACTGCTACAAGCCTCAAGATGTTGACCCAAATCCAGAATTGTTTCTGTTCTGCTTTACAGAATCTTACCACTGGCTTTAAATTAGTTGCACAGATTCATGGTATTAAAATGCAGTGGAATGACTTCTCTACATTCTGTTTTTAATAGCTTTAACCATGCTGAGACTGTGCACACAGCAAGTAGCTGCTCTATGAAGTGAAGTCTCGATTGATCTGTCAGAGCAGTGTCTGTCATCCTAGTCGGTGCTTTCCATTTCCTAGAAGTACATTGTAATATTTAAAGGTGGAAGCATAAAGGATGAGAAATACACTTGCAATGAGCACTTTTATCTTGAGCACACTTTTCTAAAATAAGCTGGAGTTTTAACATTCTGCAGGTCTAATGGAGTATTGCTGAAACAAAAATTGTTGCTGTGTTCCGGGATGCATTTAAATATAACGATACATCTAGCTTTAGGTTTAGAATTAAGTGTGGGGTTGGAATTCTAAAATATTACCCAGGTACAGGGGCACAGGGTTAGGCAGGACCTCACTCATAGGGAATAAAGGGAACCTTTTTGGTGTGTTTCTCTGAAAGATTTACTGTACTACAATTCTGATACTGTCTTTATGGCTCTTCACCAGCTGCCTGTGGATCAGTGAAATGCAGTGTATTAAAGAAAAAAAAACCAAACATATTTGGGGTTGTTAAGTTAAAGGTGGTAAAGTTTTTTTTTATATATATATACTTTGCTTATGTTACTAAACTCATTTATAGCATGTTTTTTGTATGCAATAAATATGCAAATCTCTTCTAGTCTCTTGCAAATTAACTGCTTAAATGAGTTTAAATGTTTTGGCATGGAAGATCTTGGTAAAATGCTGTGTAGCACAGGGTGAGACAGGTCTCTCAGGTGTCCATCAGCTGCATGTAACTGTAAGCCAGGTTCACATCAAGAGTATAATCCTTTTCTCCTTCCCTTCTGTGTGAGAAGCCCGAGGTGACCCTTGCACATCTCCTGGCTGGATGGGTGAGGGGGGTCTGCGTCCCGACCTGCCCCTTTTCACCCCCAGTGTGTCCACGGTGATCAGCCGACATGCCAGCCAGGCAGCAGAGGGTTCCCAGAGACAGAGTGCCACAGGCGGGGGCTATGCAGCCGCACTAGGAGAGGACAGAGAGAGCGAAGTAGCAGAAAGGAAGCAGCAGAAGAAGAAGAAGAAGAGGAGACCAAGAGATGAAGTACCAGAGACCTTCCATACCACCACAGTGCTACAGGGGTCCTACACCGAGAGTAGCCCCATTGCCCCTGGTATCCCAAGAGTTCCACCTCGCAGGGAGGAGGGCTGGGAACGAGAAGAGGGAGGAGGCCGTGCAGGCCGGGGCAAAAAAGGCAAAGGCAGGAAGAGACCGCAGGAGGATGGGGCTGAAAGGGAGTGGGGGGTTCCCCAGGAATCCCACGTGCCCGCCCAAGCTCACATGCCGAAGGTCTTCCCACCATCCACCCCGGAAGGGAGCAGTAAAGTGGAAAAGGAGATCCCTGGGATAGGGTCCCTGGGGCAAGTAGCTAAAGAGCCAGTTAACACTCTTAGCAAACAGCTATCTCCAGGTGTCCCTCTCGCAGGCTTTCCAAGCCCAGAAAAGGACCCTGTTCTTAGTGCCCTTGTACCTTCCTCTGCCACAGCCACTCTTATAGAACCTATCCGTTCTCCTCCCACCTCCTCCCTTGGTCTAGGGGACACAGCCACTACGCTTCCTCAAAAGGATGTCCCTCCCACCAGCTCCATTGATCAGCAACCCCCTCCCTTCAGTGAAACTGCAGCACCTCTGCTCAGCTTGACAATAGACTCCCCTACCCTCTCTCCTCAAGATGTCTTCATTCCCCCCACTTGCGATGCCCCAGCCCTCTCTCCTCAAAATGTCCATGTCGACTTCACTAAAGAAGCCCCTCCTGGTAAAGATGCTCAGAATATTGCTGTTCCCTATGTCAAAGATCCCAACACATTCTTCGCTCCTAAAGATGCCCATCTGCTCTCTCCTAATGATGCCCCTGTCCCCTCTCCTAATGATGCCCCTGTCCCCTCTCCTAAAGATGCCCCTCTCCCCTCTCCTAATGATGCCCCTCTCCCCTCTCCTAATGATGCCCCTGTCCCCTCAGCTAAAGATGCCCCTCTCCTCTCTCCTAAGGATGCCCCTATCGCCTCAGCTAAAGAAGCCCTTCTCCTCTCTCCTAAGGGTACCCCTCTCCCCTCTCCTAAATCTGCCCCTGTCCCCTCAGCTAAAGATGCCCCTCTTCTCTCTCCTAAAGATGCCCTTCTCCCCTCAGCTAAAGATGTCTTTGCTCCCTCTATTGAACAGCATCCTGTTATCACTCCCACCTCTAGCACACCCACCTCTCCAGCTGCAACAGCTGGTCCTGAACCCTCATCCTCCATAGAGATGCTTCCTAAAGATTCCACTGCTCCTTTCCCTAAAGATGCCCCTGCTTCATCTCCTAAAAAGCTGCTCGCAGGCCCCACCAGCACTGCGAAACACCCCACTTCCTCTGTGAAGAGAGCATCCTCTTCTAGTGCAAAACAGCAAAACTCCCTTGGTATGACGGCCTCCTGGGCCCCTGCACAGACTGAACTGGTGAGCCCCAGTTCCTGTCCTGACTTTGTCTCTGCGTCTGCTGGGGCTCCTCTTTCCAGAGAGCTCTTAACCCCTGGCACTGCAGGGCAAATGGCTTCCAGCTCCAGAGGCTCTCAGGATCCCTGCCTGACTCAGGACAGTCAGCAGACAGGGAAAGAGCTGGCGAGTCCCATGGGCGATATCAAAGGATGTGCAGAAGATACAAATACACCCCTTAGCAGCTTCATACTTGCTACTGGAGATATTCCCACGGATACCTGTGGAGGGACAGACACCGCTCTATTCCAAGGCTCTGGATTGCAAGAGGTTGCGGCCCCTGGTCCCGCTCTTCTTAAAGGCCTGGATGCCTCCCAGTCTGCTCAGCCCACGGATGGTAAAGAATTGTCCGCAGCAGGTCCCTCTGAGCAGCTCTCCCTCCCCTCCCCTTCCAACCTGGAGCAGACAGAATCGGGACACAGAGATAATAAGACGGAGAGGGAGCTGAAATCCCTGATGGCGGAAGGTTTGTGGAGAGTGAAAGAGCGCTTTGGCGCATGATGCTGCACGGGGGAGCTGGGAGACTGGCCTGGTCTGTGGGGTGACTGGCTGGCTGGCTGGCTGGCTAGCTGACTGACTCACTGGCTCTCTGGCTGTGGAAAGAATGACCAATCTCACACAGCATGAGGCTTGTGTGTGCGTGAGTGCAGTGATCACGGGACAACCCAGTTTGGCTTGGCTTGGCCTTTCACAGTGTGGCGCTATCAGCCAGGGCAGGACATGGGTGCGTGTCAGGAAATGTCCCCTACCATGTAATTGATCTGAAGGTGCTGTTGGCCACATGGGGCTTTTCTCAGAATGGTCATTTTAATGAAAACATGTTGGCATTCCAATTAAAGATGGCAATGGCAGATATTAAATTGGAGTTAATTATCAGCGTGATTAACCTGTGGCCTTGTCAGGTGGCACTCAAGTGTGCTGCTTGTGGGAGTGGTGTTGAGTTCATTAATTTTGAAGGCGGCCCAGCTTGATGCTGTCTGATGCTGTTTTTTACAGTCATTGTATGTTTCTATGTATCTTTCTGTACTGTATGTCTCTGTACGTTTGCCCCTGCATCTGTCTAATGCCTTGTTTTAATGACATAAATATATGCAGTATAATAGAACAAGCAATACGTTTATTCCATGCTGGAAAAAAAGAAAGAACACACAACGTTTCGGTCGTGGGGCCTTCTTCACCTGAAGAAGGCTCCACGGCCGAAACGTGTGTTTTTTCTTCTCTTTTCAGCATGGAATCAACCTATTGTTCCTTTGCAGCCTACGCATGCTGATGCAGCTACCCACCTGAACTATACAGTATAATATACAATTAATATATATTTAATATATATTTTTTCCTTTTCTAATCCTCTAGGTTTTTTGCTTGAGAAAATAGAGATGGCGTGACTAATTCCCAATTAATCTGTGCAATTGTATGTAGAACGTTTATTTAGAAACACATATGGCTAGCAGAACACATTAATCTTAATTCATCTTCATAATTAGTCTTTTTTTTTCTTCTTCATATCCATCTGAATCTGCGTGGTCCTGCATGGCGGCGATGGGCACTGACAGTAGGTAAGCCAGACTTACTGTACGATCTTCCCTTTTAGAACAGTGAATAGACTTACTGGAGGACCTTGATGTTAGTACTTAAAAGTATTGAGCCTTTACACCACGTATATGTCCTTAAAGGGCCTTGTCTTCTGAAAATAGGAGGCTGCCTTGAATGGGATGGAGACACATCTTTACTCAATAAATTACAGACAAAATAGCTTAAGTTATATGAGTCTGTGAATTGGGATAAATCAGAATTGTATCTGTACAGAATCTGATACAATCAGATATCAGATCTACTGTATATATACAGTATATATACTGTATGTGCTTATTCAGAATGTTTGGTGTGTGTGCTCTATCAAGGAGGATCTTAAGAAAAAAACATTGAACATTTTGAACAATTTATAAAATATGTTGTAGTATAGTAAAAGTCTGAAACAAGTTATAAAATGCTTGTTATGTTTAGGACTGGGTCTGGGACTGCTAAAGGCCTCCAATAAGTTATTCTTAAACAAAAGCAGTGAGACGTTATGGTAAAAGTAATAGTTCCAGATGGGTTAAATAACCTACTGTAAGGTACTCTTTTATATATTGTACTGTATATTTTGTATGCAGATTATATTCTATGTATTTAGTGAACGGTCACTCTATTGCATAGCCTGTCTCACTGCAGAAGACTGATAGCCAGCAACTCCAGTGAGTCACACCCTGCTCCTGTCATTACTGGCGTACAGACCAGACTGCTTTTCTACATGTGACTGTTGGATTATCTGGGGATTTTTTACTGGTTCCTCATAACATTGTGGCATTTCTTCAAAAGTATGCAGCAACACTTTTTAATATCTGCAACTGAAAATCCTGATAAATGCAGAAGTAATTTAAAGGTAAATGTATTGTTCATTGCGAACGTAGGAGAATGTTATCAAAACATATGTACAGTAGCTGATAAAACCAAAACTTATACACTAAACCATTTGTTCAGATTTCAGGAAGAAGACAACGGTAAAATAGATATAAACACTATATAATGAGTGTTGAATTTTTACTGCTTAAATATTCCCATCATACAGAGTAGAACTATCTTCGATACATTTTTTAACCATATTAAAGAAGAAAATAATAATAATAATAATAATAATTGCGTACACTTATATAGCGCTTTTTCTGGACACTCCACTCAAAGTGCTTTACAGGTAATGGGGACTCCTCTCCACCACCACCAATGTGCAGCATCCACCTGGATGATGCGACGGCAGCCATAGTGCGCCAGAACGCTCACCACACACCAGCTATCAGTGGGGAGGAGAGCAGAGTAATGAAGCCAATTCATAGATGGGGATTATTAGGAGGCCATGATTGGTAAGGGCCAATGGGAAATTTGGCCAGGATGCCGGGGTTAAACCCCTACTCTTTTCGAGAAACACCCTGGGATTTTTAATGACCACAGAGAGTCAGGACCTCAGTTTTACGTCTCATCCGAAGGACGGCGCCACATGAGCCGCAGGGTGAGCGCCCCCTGCTGGCCCCACTAACGCCTCGTCCAGCAGCAACCTTAGTTTTTCCCAGGAGGTCTCCCATCCAAGTACTGACCAGGCTCACACCTTCTTAGCTTCAAAGCCTGCAAAATGACCTCAATGCAGTTTGAAAACTACTAGTGTCAGAAAAAGATATGACATTTTGGTTTTACTGTGTTAAACTCGATCACGGTTAAAACATAAAATCACAATCATAATTAACACATGAACACAGTTAACACAGTGCATTTAAAACATAAATTATGAAATGAGAAGTACCATCAAGCATTTCATCATCAGTTCCCTGAGACTGTATTTTTGAAAGTTGCTGCCAAAGAGTGTGTGGTCATTGCTGTCTCATTCCTGAGGGTGTTGGCACAGTGGTGAACTGTCATGACAGATTTGTGAAGCAGGGCCCTAGGATGTGGTTCATCAAGGAAGGATGCCCAGCACCTGGAGCTGATCTGTACAATGACGCAGTCAGAGCCAGTCTCCTGGCCTCATTCTCGCCTTCGCCTCATCTCTGTCTTCCTCATTCCCTTCTTTTCTACCTCCTGTACATCTCTTGCACTAGATCTAAGTCCCTTGACTCTTTGTTTTCACCTTCACACCTTCAGTCTTTCTCTTAACCCACCCCACACTCTTCTCTTAAATCATTTGACATAATTTTTTTTTTCCAAGGAGCTACATTTGCCTAACTGTATTACAAGTATTGTCGCAATTACATCCTCATTGTTCAGCCACACATGATGTAATAACCATATAGTTATGTGGCCTCTGTTTGCATTTCTCTGTGTCACAGCTGTGGCAGTGCTGTGTAATTTTCGGCATTGTTCTGTGTGCTGTCACTGTGGGTGCTCATTAACACAGTGAGGGGGCTGGTAGGGAAGGGGGACTATCAATTCAGTTTGGAGTTCTTTGTTGCAACAGTGGAGTTTGTTAGGTGAGTGTTTTTGAAGATGGTGAGGACGTATACAGAAATCCGACAGTGAAGGAAAGGGTTCAGATTACTCATGCTCCCTCTCTATTCCTTGTCTGTCATGTCATTGCGATTGTTTTCTGATGTTGGAATTGTGGTGTATGTTCAGTAGCTTTGTGTTCAACAGCTGAATAATTATTTATCTAGAATTTGTTTATGATGGTGACCTGGAGAGTAAGTGTTTTTACAGGAGAACAATGTGAATGAATTACCTTGCGCAAGGATACCAGTGGTGCCCCACCTGATATTTGAACCCACAAATTACCTTCTCGACAGCTGGGGCTGCAATGTATTCAGTAGATCAGCGTCTAGAGTTCTGGGTTGCAGTGTGTTCAGGAGCTCAGTGTCTAGAATGTTGAGATTGGATTGTGTGAGATGCCATCCTCGGCATTTGGGCATTGCACACATTTTTCACTGTGTGCTTGGTCAGAAAATTAGCTTTCTACAGAACTGAAATACCAGGCATTCAGGAATTAATTTTTAGATTGCTAATAGTAGCACAGTCCTCACAAGGCTTGAACTTTAACAAGGTCTGGTTCTGATGACTTCTAATACACAGAAATTTTCATTTATTTTTCCACTGTTATGCTTTGTTTTCTGGGCCTTCACACAGATGTGCTCAGGTGACCTTGGGTGTCTTGCATCTCTTTCTGGAACTGTTTTTCTGTCAAAATGTTACCCATCATGAAATGATTTCTTATTGAAAAGAATGTACTGCCCCACAAGGACAAACTCTTCATTTGTGTGTGGGTGAATGTAGAGCAGTGTGGGGACTGTTTTGAAATGCCTCTCCAACTCCTCTCTTTCCAAGGCTGGTACAGTACATACAGATGGTCAAATCTGACTGTTATAAAAGAAGCCTTTAGCAATTCAACTCCCCTACTGTGCCTCCTGCCTTCCCCTCTCTCTCCCCTTTTTTTCCCTTGTGCTTCCCGCCACACCCGCAGTATTGATAGGTGATGGCATCACTGGTTATGCAACGGGAGCAGATCTTTTCTTTTTATATCCTGAGCGGCTGGGGCAGGGGGTGGGGTGACGCCATGTTTCTGGATCTGGAGTGTAATTATATAGCAGCAGCTCTTTCTCAAATCAGCTGCAGCGCTGTGCTTAATTACAGAGGCACCACTGAGCCTCTCGCTCATTAATCTGTGTCAGCGCGCACAACTGGGTCTGTCGCCTGGGGAACGGCGGTGGTATTTAGGATGTATACCTCACACACGTCCCTCTAGTCCCTAGAAGTTTACCTTTGCAGGGTGATTTTGCACTTGGGCTATGTTTTAGCCAACTTTTTTATCCCTGGACTTCATGGCATTTTTCTATTCTGGTTCAAACAAGCGATCTCACTGTGCTTCATAGTGTGTTCATAGTGCTTTGGTAGCAGTACAAAATAATAATGCAAACCTCTATGCTCAGAGGCTGTTGTCAGTTACAGTGCTTATAGCCAGCAGCCATATCACCCTGCAACTCACAACTGGCAACCCACTAAAGCTAAGCAGGTGTGAGCCTAGTCAGTACCTGGATGGGAGACCTCCTGGGAAAAACTAGAAGAGGTGTTAGTGGGGCCAGCAAGGGGCGCTCACCCTGCAGTCCATGTGGGTCCTAATGCCCCAGTATAGTGACGGGGACACTATACCGTAAACAGGCGCCGTCCTTCAGATGAGACGTAAAACCGAGGTCCTGACTCTCTGTGGTCAACCCCGGCATCCTGGCCAAATTTCCCATTGGCCCTTACCAATCATGGCCTCCTAATAATCCCCCTCTATGAATTGGCTACATTACTCTGCTCTCCTTCCCCACTGATAGCTGATGTGTGGTGAGCGTTCTTGCGCACTATGGCTGCCGTCGCATCATCCAGGTGGATGCTGCACAAGCGTGGAGTGGAGTATCCAGAAAAGCGCTATATAAGTGTAAGCAATTATTGGTATTATAATTAGTGCTTGGTTGAACTCAGATAAGCTGGGAATAACTATAACTGTATAACTTAACAAAGTGTTTCACTTCATAATTAAGAGAACAACTTTGTTGGAGATGAAGGCCGAGACAGTAAGTTAGGGGTTTGCTGGTACCAAATACATCGATGTACTGGCTCTCTTAAAAAAGCTGAGAAAACCGATCTCCTTTGATGGCAAGACTAATTGGTCTTGTTTCTGTTATATTTTGAGTGCTGGAAATGTACAGTAAATTAGAGCTACCCTTAAAGATCTGTATGGCAGCAATATTCTAGGGATCAGTCAAGTTTAGGAAAGACAAATTTTGTTCTATTATTTTGTTAGTCCTGAACCTTGTGGCAGTGAAAACCCTCGATCCTGTTTTTGATTGTCAAAAGACTCTTGATGTTGTTGTGTTGTGTTTTGATTTGGATGCTTTCAGATAAAGCAGACATTTGACAAAAATTTGTGGAGGATTATGAAAAAATAATACTGTATGTTTGCATATGTAGAGAAAACCAGAACATCTAAATATATGATTGTCATGTGAATCAGCCATTTTGATCGTTTTCATCTCTCAAATAAATCTAAACAATA